GTTTTCAGTCACTGAAGACAGAGACCTGCAATTTCACCGGGATGATTCAACAAAGGAGAACACTTGGTTTGTCTCAGAAAAACTGAAAAACAATGGTATATTTTCGTCCCTTAGTCTCTCTCTCTCTTAATAAAAGGTTGTTTTCCCTTAAAAAAAAAACACAAAAAAAACCTTATAGAGTCTAGGAGGATCGAATTTTATCCTTGAGGCGAGCCTTGGTTCGATTATTTGGAATCTAGGGAGATTATCTTTCTGATTCCCGAAAAAGATCTAAGTTTAGGGGAAGTAGTTGTTTACAATCAAAGAGGAAAGACTATGCAACAACATTTGGCAAGGAGAAGTGAGTGAAAATTGCGGATATCAACAAGTCACTCTCTCGATCTTGTGGTTTTGCATAATATCTTGCATCCTCCAGATCTTCATGTAACCCAAAACACTTTAACTCCACCACTTAAATAGCCCTTAATTACCAAACGCCGTCTACCCTGAATGATGTCTTTAATGAGAATTCACTATTACACTTAATGAATGTAGAGAGCTAGTTGACTGGAAGTTAGATTTTAGTGTGTAGATTTTTGCATTATGGATCAACAAACTAGTTATGTTTGTATTTTGGTGAGAATTTTCTAGACTATATCCAGGTAGATGTTTTACGATAGGTTATTGTTTAGAAGGACGGTCACTGAGATATCGTTTAGTTCCTGCGGATTTTTAAAGATTCTTTCCTGGCTTGATCTATGTTTTGTTTGAGGACACCGAATTTTGATCACTTTTATGGATTATTTTTAATATCTTATGCAGGTGTTTTAACTCTGTTTTCAATGGTTTTTAAGTGATTTATATGTTTTAGAGTTTTAAAAGACTTTTCAGGAAACTTGGACTAAAGATATGCAATTTGGAACAAATGAGCAATTTTAGATAAATGTAGACCAGCAGAAGTATGGCACTCGATGAAGACCTTCTCACCGTCTGATCATCCCCAAAATATGAGACAATATAGAGAAGACAACCAGATTTCTAATGCAATTGATTTGGAGACAATACAACGGTTAGATCTTCAGATATTCCCGATGCACTAAAGACAGAAAATGCAGTCTCGAAGGAGGGTATAAGCCGCGACCGCGGCCAGACAAGGTTTCCTCGTGGTCAGGACCACCGCGACCGCGGCCAGACATCGCAGACGTTCAAAGATGACCTAATTCAAGCCCAAGTTCAGCCCACTACTTATCCTTCAAACCCTAGACGTTTTCGACGAATTAGAAGGCTATATATACTCGTTTTAGGTCATTCTAATGACCAAGTCGTGGAGAGAGAACAGAAGAGAGCCGCACGCCTCGGAGTTGCCGTCTTCGGGAGAAGAAGGAGTCGCCGAAGGAGCCATCATAGATCTCCATCTTCATCCTCGTTCTTCATTCTTTACCTTTCTCTTATTTAATTTCCAGCAAACTATAATACTTCTGTGATGTTATTATACACAATGATTGAGTAATTCCCTTGTTGGATTATAAGGGATTTTCAAAGGGATTCATGGATTGATTACTGGTTTATTAGAGTAGGGTTTATTTTTAGAGTTCTTCGTCCAAATGAGTGTTTCGTGTATGTGGCTTTGATCGATCATATAGCTACTGCGATTAGGTTGATTTACTCACCGAAAGTGTTGTCGAATCGATTAACCATATTTAGATGAACAAATTCTCTTAGAGGGCGTGAGTCGATCGTTTTGTGAAATTATCAAATTAATTTGTCTAACCACTTAGAGAACTGAATGGGAGTTTAGTATATCTGAGTGAATGGATTTGTGATTAGTACTACGTGAGTAGGTTAGTCTGGGTTTAATTTCAGGAAACTCTATGTTTAATTCTCTTGTTAGCTAGTCTATGATTCCCAGTGAATTCCCTAACGCCCAACATTAATATTTGGAAGTTCATTCCTTGCAACAATGGGGGCAGTTGTTGATTATTCCAACCAAAGAGTATGTTTTTCTAAAGTCAAAAAGAGAATTTTCTATCCTGCAGTCTATAGTGATGGAAGCTCTTACTGTATAACCATCTACAAGGAAGAGAAGATGATTTTAGACCCTGGAGATAACAAGGAAACGTGCCAAAACGTTTCTATACAAGCCTCTTTAGTGGGGCCTAATGGAGTTTTCGAATCGAGAAAATCTAAGCACAAAGAAAAAAAATCTAAGCGCAAATCAAAAAAATCTAAGGGCAAAACTATCTCACTTGATGCAAGCTCGATATTGACTTCTCAAAACCTTATTGGAGAAGTGGAGATGGTAATGCTAAAGTAGTCACCCCAGAGAAACGTCTAACCCCACCTCCAAAAGCAAAACCTTATGAGCTTCCCTGGTTTATGCTTTTTGTAAATTACCTAGCAGCAGAGGTCAAACCACCACGATTCTTTGGCTACAACAAAAAGAAGTTCTTGCATTATGTTAGAAGATATTTTTGGGATGAACCATATCTTTATAAGTAGTGTTCAGATAACTTGTTTCGAAGATGCATCTCCGAAGAAGAAGTTCCAAGCATCCTTTTTCATTGTCACAGATCTAACTATGCTGGACACTTTTCTACTGATAAGACTGTAGCGAAGGTTTTACAAGCTGGTTATTGATGGCCTACCATGTTCAAGGATGCCCATAAATTCATATCTAAGTGTGATTCTTGCCAAAGACAAGGGAACATCAGCAAACAACATGAGATGCAACAAAACTTCATTCAAGAAGTCTCCCATGATTTGATATTATTATTTACTTGTTTTTAAGTTTATTAATTGCTATTTTTGTCACGATTCACAACCCCCCAAACAAACACTCATATTTTCATCTTAGCTCATTTCTCATCTCAAGTAAACTCGTATTGTAGTTACTTGATCTTCAGTGGATCGACCCCTAAGTACTACAACGTACATCTGTGCGCTTGCAGAAAACTAGGGTTAAAACCTGAGCACATCACCTTGAAATTCCTCCATTGTTTGCTGCTGTCAGGATTTATACACTTATCGTTTCCTCCTTTAACAGCTAGCTCTAATGTTTCCATTCGTTGCCCAGTACACTAACTTGCTTCAACAGCCATGTAAACTGTTCATTTTTATCTTCTGCCACATCCTTCATAAAATGACTAAAGCCTCTACGGCGACAGGGACGTACTTCAACGTTGCAATCCCCTACCGATGTTGCATCTTTTCCGTCGTCTGTGCTCGTCCCTCTATCTTTTCGACGGTCAACAATGTGTCTTTAGTGGGTTCCTCGTTTTCTCCCCTGAATACACTCAATTAAGGGGCATGACATATCACCTCCAAGCCATTCGGCTTTCGAAAATAAATATTCCTTCTATATCAGAACTAACATATATTCCACTTTCTGGTCCCTTACCTCATCATCCCACTCACCCCACCCACTACTTCTTTTAAGCCCAGGCTCAACCATTCGATTCATTGCTAACTGCATAAGGTGATTCCAACGTAAATAATAGCGTCCAATGTTGAATATAATTAAAATTGGTAGATAAAAACTTATACTGGAATCAAATTCCACTTCCAACACATCGTTTAGGGATACAACTGCATTATTTGGGAAACCGGCCTCTGGTAGATTGAGGTCAATGATCCGTACACCATCACTTGGATCGGGTAGTTTCTCAACGAGACCAAGGATTGCTCTAAATGCGAGTAGTTGTAAAGCCAGTGGGAAACCAGTTAATCGAATGATCTTTGCTGCAATTGTTTCCGGAACAATGAAATAGGGTCTTCCCATTTACCGGATGCCTTTCTACTCGGTCGCATTGTAACAATTGTCTTAAAACGACTCACGGCCCCATGGAAACTTAAGAAAGTTTTTGACATCATCCACCATTTTCACAAACCTGGGCATCGGTGTGTGGGTTTGGTGGTGGGCTATTAGAACGCAGTCCACGATTAGAATCAATGCAAGCCTGATTCTTCTTTCCCCATATATTCCCTTCTCAGTCTTTAGCATACTAGCAATATCAGCACAAGTCGTTTTAGGGTCCTCCCCAATCCACCTCCTCTAGTATTCATCAAGTTTCTTTGATTTTATTTCAACTACTCGTAGCCTTCGTCATACAAACTTACATTTAATTCAGTCACACTTTCAAACTCAGAGAGTGAAAATCTTCTTGGCTGTCCACCAAACATTGTCCACATTTTATATTTTTGCTTGGTTAGCAATTGCTTAGACAGAAGGGCGTGGATAAGCTTACAAGAAGTTGGGGCCCGATTAGCCGGAAGCAATAACCGACCAAAGTCTGATTCCAAAATACGTTTTAACTCTGCGGTGTCTCTAAGCTCTTTCCGAATAAATGTCAAAATATATGGTTTAGAATATATGTTGAGACGGCAAGTCAGAAATCTATTCGTAGCAAAATAAGCATGGAGGAAGGACGTCAGCCCGTCATCTATATTACTGTTTTCCTCCACAAAATCGCTTTCTTCCGCTACTGAGTTTACATACACCACCATTACATTATACAGTCGAGTAATTTAACTAAAATTACTAGGGAAGTGGGTGACTCTTACCAGACATAACAGAAAATTAAGGCTCAATTTACTTCTTTTAATGCTCGAGACTGTAGAGTTTTGAAATTGTCAAGATTCTGAGAACTGGCCTTGCCTTCTTCATGGCTCTCCGCCGTCTAGGTTTTACGGTTATATAAATTGCCTAACATTTGTTTTTTTCAACGGTTCAACCAACTTTAGTTTAATGAATTTAATGTATAAACCGGTTCCTTATAGAGAAGTTAATGAGGGGGTTGTAATGTCTTTTAGCCAATATAAAATGTGAGAAAGTGTTAGAGTAGAAAAAGTGATATATTGTGTAAATAAAAGTGAAAATTTGATCTTGAGTGTAAACAAATAAAGCAAAAAAAAAAAAAAAAGTTCTAGGATTATTCTAGCTGGGCCATATTGATGGCCTCAGTTTGAAACAAAAACTGTATCCTCGAATAAGAGTATTAAGACCCATGAATTTCAAAGAACATTACAGAAATGCCATCATTGCTTGACATCGTTCCCTTCCCCTCTTCCTCAAAGGAATTCTCCAGCTAAAACCCAGAGCTATCTCTCAGTTTCAGAAGCTGTTTCTTTCAAAGAAAATGGTTTCTGTTTCTTGCTCTTGTCCAGTTTCTAGCTTTCGCTCCGTAGAACTTGGAGCTCGTATTGTTCCTCCTCTATTTTTCGTCGGAAATCATGGACGAGTCACTTCCGGTTCGCTTCGAATCAGAGAAGGTAAGCCGTAAGCCTTGGAAAATTTCGAATTTCGTGATTTACTTGCTTCTAAGTGATCTATGTGCTTGTGCTTGATAATAAAGAATTGTTTTAAAGTAATTCTTGATTGAATTGCTTACAAATCGAAGTATTTATCAAGGGAAATACGATAATTAGCTATTTTGCATCGTCGAATCTGAAAGATTTTCGATGCAAGATACCAAACTAACCATATTGGGAAAATTAGATATGTTTACTTCATATTGTTGCTGTATCAGATGGTTTAATTATCTTTAATTGTTATAAAAATTTGTGAACTGTCAGGTTGTTTCCTAAACTTCAAGAGTGAAAACCCTCAGAGATTCGCTATTTCCGCGGTTGTGGGTAATAAAAATGTTGTTGCGCCTAAAGAGAAGAACGACGAAACGAATAGTGATTCTGAAAAAGTGGTAGATAACCAGAAAATGATCAAAGTTTGTGATAAGCTAATCGAGGTTTTCATGGTTGATAAGCCGTCACCATCTGATTGGAGAAGACTGTTAGCTTTTAGCAAAGAATGGGAAAGTATCCGTCCGCACTTTTACAAAAGGTGTCGGGAACGAGCAGATTCCGAGGAGGATAACCCTGAGATGAAGCACAAGGTTCATCGGCTTGCAAGAAAGCTCAAGGAGGTGAGAGACTTTGAAACTGAGAATCGAGTTTTTTACTATGTTATTTATGTGATTTGGATTTGTGACATTGGTCTTAATCAGGTCGATGAAGACATTCAAAGGCACAATGAGCTTCTGGATGTCATCAAGAGGACATCACCGGCTGAAATTGGTGAACTTGTTGCTAGTCGCCGTAAGGATTTCACGAATGAGTTTTTTGAACATTTGCATACTGTTGCGGAATCCTACTATGACAAACCGGATGAGCAAAATGGTATTTCTTATATGCCTGTCGTGAAATAATTGAAAGAGACGAAACAATACTACTGTTGCATTTGATGATTTTGTTTTTCTTTTTTTTTTTTTGGAAAGCTCTTGCATCACTTGGAAAATTGTGTATCGCGGCTGTACAAGCTTATGACACTTCAACAGAAAGCATTGATGCATTAAACGCTGCGGAAATGAAGCTCCAAGACATAATCAACTCCCCTTCTCTTGATGCTGCCTGCAGAAAGATTGACAATTTGGCTGAGAAGAATCAGCTTGATTCCGCGTTGGTTCTTATGATCACAAAAGCTTGGTCTGCTGCAAAGGAATCTAACATGATGAAAGATGAGGTACTAAACTATTAAAGCCTTTCTCTTTTTCTTGGAAGGACATTTTCTTTGCATAATATTGGAATCATACAATCTATTAATCTTATCTTTAATGTGTCTGATCTTGGTTCTTGACAGGTAAAAGACATATTGTATCATTTATATGTAACAGCAAGAGGGAATCTGCAGAGGCTTATGCCCAAAGAGGTGAGGATACTTAAGTATCTACTATCGATAGAGGATCCCGAGGAACAGATGAGCGCTCTACAAGACGCTTTTACCCCTGGGGAAGAGATCGAAGGGGCTGATGTAGACTACTTATACACGTAAGGACGAGAAAACTAGATAATATATAACATATATGTAGATATGGAACCTCAGGATGCGTATCTCCATGTGTACAATGCAGGACGCCTGAGCATTTGCAAAGCTTGATAAAGACGGTGTTGGAGGCATATCATTTCAGCAGGGAAGGGAGTTTAGTGAAGGAAGCGAAGGACCTTATGCATCCTGAGCTCATTGCCAAAATGGAACAACTCAAGAAGATTCTTGAAAAGACGTATATGTGATCAAGCTTTTACTGATCCTAAACTCTATTCTTAGGTTTCTATGTATGTGACTGTGTGTTGTATATGGTGTTTGACATTGTTCAGGTTTCACATATATATTTGATACCACCTTCAGACTTAGACTTTAGAGATATGCTGCAGTAATTCTTCCTTTTTTTTGGTTTTAATGTTACTATTTCTTCATTATAATGTAAATTCTATATAAAATCATCAACTTAATTTCAATGAGCTTTTTAAATCTTTAACTTTTTGTGTGTTCAGAATAAAACTTCAATATTTTTTTTATCCATTTTAAATATTCAATTGTTATTCATATAATTAGTTTACACCGTATATGAAATGATACTAAACGAAAATGGGAACATCGTTCGAATCACGTTAACAAACTAACTACAGTATTCGTTGTGGTTAAACAATGATTAACATGAAATTCGATATAAACTAAATTTTGACAAAATTGAAGCAAAATTCTCAAATCAAATTGAAGCAAAATGATTACACGGATAACAATTGAGAATTCAAAATAAGTAGAAAAAATACTTGAAGTTTTTTTTCTGGGCACAAGAAAAATTGAGGATTTAAAAAGCTTATTAAAATTAAATTGCTGATTTTATATGGAATTTTCCCTTAATGTAATATTAACATGTTTTACTTAAGAGTTTCTTAAGTCACAGCCCCAATGCACAAAGCAACTTCCTTTTTTTTAGTTTTGTTTCGAAGAAACCAGAGAAATTTCTCTTCTCCAAAGACAACGACGATCACAGCTTCTGTTACATTTAGTTTTAGAAATAGTGATTTATAGAAGATACCGATCGGATTACAAAGGAACTTCAGGAATTTGATAATGGAGCTCCTCCCACTCCCCCTCTTTGAACAAAGAACCCAATTCTTTGATAACCTCTCTTTAAACCTTAGACACGCTTATATACTACTTATTAACTTTTAAGACAAAACGACTGTGGATTATTCATTACTACTTAGATAAAACGACGGTGCAAACGTATCAGCTTCCACAAAGCGTTGAATCAAAGCAAAACCAAATGGAAAGAATCAAGGATTGTTTTGAAAATAAAGACGTTTTTAAGTTTTTATTTGAGAAAAGGGTAGTTTTATGTTTTAATTAGTTAGGGTAGGGACATACTTTCATAATGCCAAATTTACTCTTCTTTCTGAGAGAAAGAGAGACAGAGAAGTCTGCCCTTAGAGAGTGACAGACGCAGAAAATACCGTGGGTCCCAGGCGTAGTCTGTGTCCGCGCGCATAACAACCGGGAAGAGAGCACTTACGCACGTGATTGGGTCGTTTTTTGGGCCTGATTTCGAATTTCGGAATGAAATTTCCAAAAACCACCTTACTGGGCCTCGATTATGGGCCGAAAACTACCCAACTCATTAGACGTAAAACTACCCTTCCCATTCTCTTTTTATTTTTGGCAGGAAAAATTGTGGTTAATTAGAGATAATGGAGATAAATTGGTTAAAATAAGAAACAAAGTACCCTAACTAAATTAGAAGCCCTAGTTTCCCTTTCCAGAAGATGTTGAAATTGAAGGGGAAATTATGCAATGATCAAGAGGACAACAACCACGGTTAGCTACTTAATCCTATTATTGTACACCCATAGATTTGTCATTGTTATTTTCGAATTTTTTCGTTCTGGTGTTCGCTATTTGCCAGTAGTTTTTTAGATATGGTGTTCGCGATTTGCAGTGGATGCGTTCATTCTTGTTATGGCGGGAACATGGATAAGGTACTATACAGGAGATTGGGATTTCAAAATGGACATATCTCATCGTGGAAGGTGCATAAATTGCAAAGATGTGTCCGGACCAGATAATTTGAGAAATCTGATTGCGCATGAGTTCGGATTAGACCCGAGAGTTGTTTCGGTGGAGATTTCCTACTGGTTTGATGATGTTCTAGCTGAGCTTAATGGTGATGGGAGTTGTCCATGTGTGATAGTTACTCCTCGAGAGTACAAATTCTTCCTTTCGCTGCGTAAGTCTGACAAGTCTGTGAATTTATTTGTGACATTCAAGGAGTCAGTAAATGGTAAAATGGTGAGATTGAAACGGAAGGAAAGTCTTGAAGTTCAAATTGCTAGGGAACGGCGAAAGTCCTTAGGGCCAACAAACTTCATAGCCTCTTCTTCGGCAGAGTCTAGTCAACCCGATGATGAAGCAGATGATGAAGCTATCGATGATTGTTTGCTGATAGCACATGCCGAGAAAGTAGAGGCAGAGGCCGCAATGAACACCTCCAAAGGTGTACAACCTGAAGCTGTCTCTGTAATCCATCCTCCATTGGGATTAAAAATGTCCCAGGAATCAGAAAAAGTAGAGGCTAAGGCCAGCACTAACACTTCCGTTAATGTAAAACATAAATGTTCCAAGTCACGCTGTCTCTGTTGACCACCCTGAGTTGGAATTAAAAATGTCCCAAGAATCAGTCGAGGCGAGAGATTCGGAAGAGAAGGAAGCTGATGATGTTGACGATAACGCATACGACTCTATGATGATTATGATCCGGATTATGATTTTGACTGGGGGAATGATACGTACTAGCAGATGGTAAGGATTTCCATTCC